GGGGCTGTAGACCCTGCCGTAGCTTACACCAGTGAAGTTTCATACCTTTCCAACTCTCCTATCCTGCATGGTTGCTGGCGCCTTTTATAGGATTAAAAACAACCAAATATTTTAAGGTGTCTCTTCATTTCCTGGGAGGATTGGAAACATTAGAGCAGCTCCATCCCGCAGCTTCACCCCAGGTGCCATTGGGGTGCCTTCTCTGGCAGATGGGATTCTGATTGCAGGAGACAGTGTCCCAGCAAAGCATGCGAGATACAGAGAGCAGACTGGGACAGGAATATGGTCTCAACTAGGGCTTAGTACCAGTGTTCATATTTGGACGTCCCACTCAGCCTAAGCGCTGCGATATTTGAGAGGGGTGTCGCAATGGGGTGGGGGGACTGTGCTTTGGGAGAGCTTCAGAGATTTCCCACCACCACACCCAGCACATCCATGGATGTGGATTTCTCTGCGCAGCCATGTGCTATGTACTAAAACTCACCTTCCACCTTAAGCTGTTAGGGAAAGTGTGGAGAATGGATAAAGGTGAAGGATGAAACAGCCAAAGCTATTGCAGCGAGCATTTAGCTGTTCGTTGTGAGTGCTAACATGATGACTGCAAAACAAGAGGACCAAAAATGGCTCTGGAGACACCCTGTGGAGTTCAGGGCAGGCTGAGGGTCTTTTGAGGAGGGCTTTTTAATGGACCAAGGACCCAAGGACATAAGCTGACAGGTTTTGAGGCAAGAGACTGTTGATCCAACGTTCTTGCTCCCTTCTCTCCAGTAGTTACTCCTGTCCAGAGCCAGCGGATTCAGCTAATGCATCCTCCAGAAAAGTCTGAGCCCAGCTGGTCCATGTTTATAATGCCTGGGGCTTGCTCAGGCACCTGACCCCTTCCTTCGAGAGTGAGGAAGGCACAGATTAACCCTCTCCCTTCCCCAAATCCGCACTTTCATGAGCGACAAGGAAAAAAAGATGCACCCCAGAGCTGGTGCTGGTTGCTTCCTTGGAAAGCAGAGGAAGGATGAGTTCGAGGTGGGAACACTTGGTGCAGTATCTGAACAGAGGATGCTCCCTCTGTGTCTTTGCTGTTGTGACCTCTGCAAGCTTGAATTCATAGGAATAAACTCAATTAGAAACACAGTACCTTAGGTCAGATCTCAGCAAGAACTCATGCAGGAAAGCCAATTTCCCTCAAGCCTCTGAGCTCAGACCCATGTCAGGCCATTGACGCTCAGCGAGTTACCATCCATCAGGAGAAGATGACCCTGTGCAGTGTCCTCAGCGTGGTACCAGTGCAGAAGAGAACACAATCGTGAAAGCCTCCCTTGCAGAGGTAAGGACAGTAATTGCTTCTCAGCTGCTAGATGTGGAAGAAGAGCTCATTTCTTTGTGAAACCTTGACGTATAAATGCAGTGTGGGCCACGACGTGCCCTTTGTTCTTCTCAATAGATCCCCAGAGCAGTGGGAGGCGAGTGGCAGTTTGCATTTCAGCTGGCAAGGAAAATAAAGAGCTGTTGCAACTTTATGCAGCCACCACGTGCCTACACTGTAATGATTCTATTCTGTTCATTCTGTAAAGCAGGGATAACAGCTGTCAGAGAGGGGCAAGAGTGGGCTGCTCCTCAAGGCAAGGAGCTAAGGGGACAGCAGAGCAGGCAGGGGAATATCCTCACTGACACGGCGCAGCCCCGGGGTACGCCAGCAAGAGCAGAGAGGTTCATGGCTGTGTCCGATGATTCCCACACAGTCTGCAGTGAGGAGGCAGGTCCAAGATGAAGCCAGAAAGAAAGTCGAGTCAGCAAGTCAAGGTGAGAATCAGTCAGGTACAAGGCTGGGCACAGGACAACCTGCAAGGCGAGGTTCAAAGCATAAATGCAGCTCCTGAGCAAAGCAGGAGAAGCTCCAGTGAAGGCTCCACACTGCTCCTCACGCCTTCTCTGTTTTTCCAGCAGTCTGATCCCATGGCTGTCCGACACCAGGGCTGGCCTTGAGCACAGGCAGCCAGACCCCTGGCAGGTGGAGAAGGGGTCACAGAGCCCGTGGGTGCGCTGAGAGCCCTGGCGTGAACACCTCCTTGCAGTGGGCTGGGACCCACACGGTGCTGACATTTGCCAAGAGCCATATTACTTCTTGTGTGGCAGGAGCCCAGATCCATGTCCTGTTGAAGTCACGATGAAACCAGTACTGTGGTCTGGGCTCTGCTCTGCTTGGTGTGTACGTACACAGTTGTTGCTGGGAGGACCCGCAGGGTGCAAGGGAGAGAGAGATGCCCAGTCTAGGAGCCGAAGCAGCGTAGAGGAGCCCAGGGACAGCCAGGGGATGAATGACAGAGCTGCGAAGAGGTTGGTTTCTTTCCCGCTGGCTGTCTAGAAGGAGGGGTATTTAGTTGCCACATCAGCAGAGTGGACCATGGCTTAGGGACAGGAGCTGAGGATTTGTAGAGGGATGCTCAGGGGGATAAGAAGGATGAAGAAGAGATGGGGTAAGGGGAAATGGGAGGCTTTCCCTTGCCTTTGGTGAAGACCTTACAAGTGGCTGTGGGTCTGCAGTGATGCCTTCCATGGGAAGAACGTCCCACAAATCCTGAAATGCGTACCCTTCCTGCTGCCATGCCTGGGCTCCCTTCCCTAGCCAGCAGACACCTTCTGCCTGGCTGCGCTCTCTACCATGGCTGGGACAGTGGAGGTGGCCTTGAGAGGCAGGTGGTGCCGAGCACTTCAGGCTGGTGAAAATCCAGTTCTCAATGGGAAGCAAATCTATTTTGGTTTGTGTGCATGGAGCAATCCAGTGCTCAGCCCTGGGACTGGACCTCATGAGGAGCACGTCACCTTCTTGGAGAGAGCAGCTCTCTGTGCCAGGGCTGGGTCCGAGGACCTTCACCCCACAGTCAGCAGCATCCTCAGATGCTGGCCTTCCTTGCTGTTCGTGAGACCAAATACACAGCAGCAGAAGAGGGAGAAAAAAAACAAGCAGGAGAAAGTGAATCTTGCTGAGGCCCTCAGGGGTCCCAGAGGTTGGTAAATGTCTCATAGAGGTGCTGGTGATGATGCCAAGAGCTGCTGCCACTGGAAAAGTCAATTCATGGCTCATCCGAGCTGAGACAATGTTGTGCGTTTGTGCCCTTGTGTCTCATCTCTGCAGTGACACATCCAAAAGGACCAGGAGCATTTACACCTATTCTGAGAGGGGACTCAGCTCTCCCCTCTTCTTCCAGCCATGACCATCACCTCACCTACTTTGATGCATCTCACTGGTGGCAGCTGATGGGAGCTAATGGGGGTTAATGGGAGAGGAGCAGCTCTGCCCAGCCACTGAGGAAGATGAGAGGCTGCAGCTCTGAGCCTGCCACTCTGCGAGTGATGGTCTGAGGGCACGGCTGTCTCCAGGCTGGGCTTATGGAGACAACAGACTGATGGGACATGTTTCCTGAAGTCCTTTGGGCACTGAGTGCTGGGCAGTTCAGAGTCTTGTCTCTTATCTGGATGCCTGAGCTGAGCTCTTCTGAGGAACCTTCAGCACAGGCCAGAAAGACGGGGCACATTGGTCCGACCAGGCACTTTCTGATCTGTTTCAACGTATGTTCTTCCTTTCAGTCAGCAGACTGGGCCTGACAGTGTCCATCTGTCAGCCAGTATATCACACCCAGCACACCCCTTACAACTCTACTCGAAGGCCAAGCTGAAGACCTGTGCTCTTGACTGGTCCTGATGTCCTGTCTGCTCTTGCTCAGCCTCAGCAGCCCTCACCATCCTGAACATGATGACATAGCATGTGGGGATGCTGCTCTGCAGCACCATTTGCTGGAACTGCTTGGTTCTGCGGCCCCATCCATGCCCCCACACAGTGAAATGCCTGGTTTTAGAAAGTCAGAGACCAGCAATTGAAATTTGAGGGCAAATTTTGCCTTTTCTTATGCACCATTTGTGCTGCACCAGCAGAATGAAGATAGCAGATCCGCCCTAGTTGAAAGCCCTTACCCAGACGATAAATAAGCCATACTCAAGTCCCAGATTTCTGGGAGGCATTGCAACTAACTCTTCTTCCTCCATAGAGCTGGACAAATGGCATTGATCCTTAGATGGAGCACTGTGACCTTCTGAGCAGCTGAGCAAACTCTTGAAAGGAGACAATGTCATGCTGTCCACCACAGAGATTGCACTACAAGCTAGTGGAGGGAGAAACCAGGAGCCCAGGGTTCACTCTCTGTGGGCACATCAGGGGAAGGGAGTTATCCCCAGAGACCTGCCAGATGTCTTTGTCAGGAGCAGGGTGGTGGGACAAAGCTATGTCTAACACCAACCTGGATTAGACCCAGCCAAGCTGCTGGAAGGACAGAGGGAGGTGACCCAGAAGAGATGCTGTTTCTGGCCTTCTCCCAGGTGGGAAGGCACGACAAGAAGGTATTTCCCTGACTGCTCCAGAGGAGACTTGATTCCTGTCTGAGCCAAGTCTAGTGGTCTTCATAACCAGCACCACACTCCGAGAGATGTGACCACCACAACAGCACTTTTTGACTTTCCAGCCCAAATGATTCAGCATCCCTGCACAGATGAGTCTACTGGAGAGGCTCTGGCCAGCTTATGGAGTACAGGTTGTGCCCTGGATGGTTACAAGATGTGTAAAAAACCTGAGTTCCTCACCTCTCCTCACATGACACGGAGCCCTTAAAGATGCCTCTTCAAGAAGCGTTGGCACGAGATGGTGCCCATGGGGTAAAGGGAACATGGTGGTACCCCAAGTGTGCACTGGCACTGTCGTGACTGGGGCGAAGGGATCCTTGGCCAGGCTTGCCTGGAAGGGGAAGCAGGGGTTATAGGGGTGTGGAGGAGAGACACTGGCTGCTCCAGCCTATGAAACTCATTTCATTCTTCCTTTTCCCATTCCCTGGGGAGCTGGAAAGGAAGGAAACCCTCTCACC